GTAGAAGTATGATGAAAAGCACTGCTCTGTCACAGTCCACGAGAGACTTTCGGCTCCCTCTACCACATGTTAATAAAGTTTATTGTATAACCCTGGAGGAGGGGGTAGCTGTCAGCCGTGGACTCCCGGAGGTTTCCTGACAGATAAATGAGGTTTTTCTTCCCCCCTGTGCTGTGCAGCTTTTTCTATGTGCGGTACTATCTCGGTCGACATCCTACCCCTAGAGGGCACTCTACTTCATTCCTTTTCCTAGTTTTGTGTGATTATTCATGTTCTTCCGGTGTGTCTGGTTTCCATTTCCTATTTAGTCCCTGTGTCTCCAGTGTTCCTGGCTCAGCATTAAGGTACAAATGTCGCGAGGCCCGCCTAGCACCAGGTCACCCCACGTCCGTGTCCTGAGGGCATATGCCTCATCCCCAACACCGCCTCACTCCTGAGCCGGGAGCTGTGTTTGTCCCGCTTTTTGCCGCTGTGCATAGGGTCCCTACTGCTCTTTTGTTCATTCCATGGCTGGCCTTTCCGACATCCATGAGTGCTCTATCTGAATAATGTTGATCTCTGGTATAGTCTTTGATCTTCTCATAACACTGGAAGGCTATAGAAAATTGATGGCTATTAAACACAGGTCCCCATTGCTGCAGGCAAGCTTTTCTTTACATCTCCAAAAGGTCTGGATGCTGTCGTGGGTAGTGTGCAGCTTCTATGTATAAATGTGAAACTGTGTGCAGCGCTACCTCTCCTCAACTACCTCAACAGCTTCCAGATGTCGTGCGTTTTTCTGTGTCCACACCGATTGTCAAACAACAGGCTTCTCAATCCCATGGTTACCACCAATATAGTGGTTTGGCCCTGGCAGTGTGGGCTAGGACTTGAAACATAAATCTAGACAATTAATAAATTTCCAGTTTGCAGAGGATATGCAATTTGTCAATGAATGTTTAGAAGAAAGACATTATACGAGCTCCCACCAATCACCGGATCAACAGTGCAGAAATACAAGATTTTTATCGGACAGTTCTGACTGCCACTTCTACATGGC